TCAGCAAGGATTTGGGAAAGAAGAAGCATCACCTAACGCAGAAAGATGCAAAGAAGTGAAACAAGATCGCCAAGACGCAGGTATCCCCCGCTTTCTTTCTTTCCATTCGGCGTACGTCTAAGGAGACGAAAGGTTGCATACTCCGGCGTTTTAGAGGGACGTGTTGGGTTGGGAGGATTTCGGCTGACCACAAATATTATCTGATAAGATCTGTTCCAGGGAGATTAACAGCACTTGCACTTGCAGCTGTTTTTAACCATAAGTACTTGAAACTCTAATGACTTTTGTTCGGTTTGGACTGAAATTTTAAGGGAACTAAATGGGGCTTAGGCTGCACTAATTTGGGCTAAATAGGTTGACCATTTTTGTGTGTTTTGGCATCTGTGCTGGGCTTTATTTTTTGCCTTTAATCTTTTCTAAATGCAGAATTCTTGCAAAGAAATACTAGTTACTTTGTTACATTAATATTTAAGACCAAAATTCTCAGATTAAAAAGCATATAATTGGCCGATGAGTAATTAAAGTTCATTGGCTACATATAACAGATTTATGACTTCTAAATGTGTTATATTTGATATTAAACATTAATTAAACACTTTCTGTGTGTTTGTGTTTCCCCCGTAGAGCTCGGTGAGGAATGTTGCTTTTCACAGCGGGAAACAGGAAGGAATGTCACAGAATCTGCCAATCAGCGCCTATCACCTCCGTCTAACCTCTCCCGCTCCTCCTCCACCACCACCACCTCCTCCTCCATCCCTTCCATCCCAGCTCACTCAATCATCCCCGATCGGCCCTTTGCGGCAGTCAGACTGCGAAGATAAGCCAGGCCCCGGAGCCTGGCTGCAATCACAGTGAGTACGATTAAGAGTGTGTGTGGTGATATATCTGATTCTGATTCTGAGCGCATAAGTAAAGAGTCCTCCACAGCGCTACCCTTCAGCCGCCCGGCCCGCCTGCCCAGTGTTCAGACTACCTGTTCAGGAAGTAGTGGTTGTACAGTAGTCTGCACATTGGTTAGGCTGGCCGGGGAAGCACAGGACGACTGCCTAAAAAAAGCAGGATGGGGGGGGGGTAAAAAAAAAAAGTGAGAGCCCTCCAAAGGGCATTCAGCAGGCACAAGCACATCAGGCTGTGGGAACACGCAGCTGCACCACCCCTCGTCCATCTGGACCAGCCCGGGCACGAGCCTAAATAAAGCACCCAAAGGCTCCACCGCAGAAGGCCTAGCCCTCGCCCAGGATGGATTTATGAGTGATGGAGAAGTCCTAAAATTTTGAAAACAGACCCATCAGGTTGTACTCTTATTAAGCTATATGACGTTTGTGTAACCAAGACCTCACTCTGCGACTCAGCTTGTGAAAAATATTTAAAAATCGTCACAATAAAGAGGCTTAAGTTTTCAATGTTGTTGTTTTTCTTTTTTTCTTGAGCAACTTATCACACATATACGGGCTCCACGAAAAGTAAATAAACACCACAGGCATATAGATATAAGTGATGGTTGCGAGACATTTTTAACATCTTGTTTATTTTCCTATGCAACCAAAAGCTGAAACCAGAAAAGTTCAGCCACACAGAAAAAAACCCAAAAAGATAACTAAAGCGCACAGTAAACCTCCAGCGTCACACTGCACTCATAATGAAAATGTACAATTATGCCTCTTGCTTTCCCTGCATCAGCTTGCGGCCGCTTTACCTCAAATGACCATGTAATGTGCAGAGAGGCAGGAAGCCACCAGACAGAAATGTTGAAAGAGCAGCCACTCTATCATTGTCTGTTCACCGTTTTGTTTTTGGGTTGGCTTTTTTTTGTTTTGTTGCTTTTTATATAGCTCTCCCGCCAAAAAAAGACAGAAAATTGTGGGTTTTAGTGTTTGTAGGTGATGTCATGTGAAAAGTTACAAGTTTAGCTACCCCCCTCCACTTGCGGCCCCTTGCTTCTACTTCTTCTCTGGGACCACAGTTTACCTTCGGGCCTGCCTGTCTTTGATAAAGCAAACCCGCAGTGTACCGTATCGAATCCCCACTCCCTCGCAAACACGCCAAAGCAAAAGAAACGTTCACACGGTGCCTCATCACAGAGCATCGTCTTCAGGAATGAACACCACAAAACCAACCTGTTTCCATTTACAGCCCTGCCACCAAACACACAAGTGTATATGCATTTATATATATATACACACATACACACACCCATAACGCACAAAGCAAAAGTCCATGTGCATGCACACACACACACACACGCTCACCATTAAAGCAGACATGTTACTATGAGTGTGCTGAAAGCAGCGGTCTGCTGTTTCCCCCCAGGATGTTTACAGCTGGGATCACCAGGAGAGTCTGGCTTTCTGGCAGCTTTACAGCACGAGCAGGGAAACCCGGGCAGACACACACATGCGCAGTGACTGAACACACACACATACACAAAAGAAAAAGGGCACCCAAAGTTAATACAGGCACTAAAAAAAATCAAATGAAATCAAGCCATTTGTGCCTTTGTACTATTGTCAATGTGAAAGTGCGGTTGTCACATGCTTGTGTAAAAATATGGATTTGATTATACCAATGCACGGCTATCACAAGCGTTACAAGTCTATAAAATCCAGTGTTTTACATTCATATACACAATGTTTCTTTACAACCATTTTTTTTCTCAATTTGTGGCTCATCCCCCTCACTTTCACTCTGCTTTGGGAAGCTTTAAGCTTTAGAGCGGCCTAATTCAAAGAACTGGCATGTCCTGTGGTAATACAGACCAGAAGGCTTCTAAGAGCACACACACATGCATGTGTGCACACACGCACACACTAATCAAAACATCCTGGCACCACTACTTGGGCCGAAAGTTATTATTAGTGTCTGGAGGTGGAGTGTGTCCATGTGTGTATGCGTTTGCCAGACCATGGCGAGGGTTTTCCCCGTGACAAGCGGCACCACCAATAAAACAGTCGTGTGCTGATTTTGCAAGATGGTGCAAATAACATTTCAACGCATATACGTGGAAAAGGGTGTGCAAAAATGTGGAGTTTTCTGTATGCACTGATGCATTTTTCCCCCTGAAATTAAACAAAGCATCATATTTTGGCAGGTCTCCACCCAGGTGGTCAGCATAATTCCTTCGGAGTACTCTAGTGTGTGAGGGGCTTATGTAAAATGTCGGATATAAAACATCACGTAAACTTTTTTTAGGCTACAGCTACAGCAGCAGGCTGAGCTGAGCTGTAACGTCAGCACGTGGTGTTGGTTCTAGGTCTCCATGCGTCCTCACAGCTCCATGTTCAAATAAATAGACATTATGAGAGAGAGGTAACAGATGGAGGGAGGAGACAGGAGTAAAAAAAATAGGAGACTGTGACAAGGAAAGACTGAGACAGAATGCAAGAGGCGAGGAAAGGATGACAGACTGTTTCTTTTGTTTTTTGGGAAGAACATTTGAGGACGTCGCTGGGAAAGAAGGAGGGAGGGAGGATGTAATGTACCAAACCAGCCCTTCCTACCTCTTTTCCCCCCCCCCCCCCCATTTGTGCTACCTTTTCTCCCCACTTTCTCTCCTCACATGGTCCTTGTTACTCCTGCTGCTAACCAGCTAACGAGAGACACTCCTGCCTCCACCCCTGCGATCCAGTCCCCCTCTCACTTTGTGCCCCTTCTTTGAAATAAAGTAGGTTTATTAGAAACAGCTTGTGTGTGTGTGTGTGTGTGTGTGTGTGTGTGTGTGTGTGTGTGTGTGTGTGTGAATTAGGAACAGGGCAATGCAAGGGCTCTGGTATGCACATATGTGTGCCAGCTTCAATGTCTGACATGCTGTGGGGTCCTGACTTTTTAGAAGGACTGCCATCACACACACACACACACACACACACACACACACACACACACACACACACACACAGCCTGATGTCAGCGCGCACAGAGGCTGTGGCTAAGGCTTGGAGACAGCGAGACTGTGGCTAGCTCCTAATAGTTCTGCAAAGCATCATGGGATACCGCTTTGACCAGTAAGTCCAGTAACAAAGCATGTCAGGGAGAATCATATCAGTGTGCAGAAGATAACACTGACCAGCAGTCATAGCTGCAGTGGAATGAATGTTGGACCAGGTCATGGAGAATAAACACTCGGATCCCAGGAAAATTGTGTCGGGTTGTGCGGTAAAGATGCAGAAAAACCGCCAGAGTAAAATGTAATTTCATAGTGTCATACAGTAGGAATCGGATCACAAGACTACATGCTTTATAATCAAATTATACTGTGAAGAAATGTCAATTTTGTCAAGTTTTGTTTTTCCCAAACAAGCTTTTTCCTAATTATATGAAACCACCAAACTCCAAAGTCCTGTCAAACTGAAGTACACCAAAAAACGGAGCGGCTGACTAGTCTGACGTTTACTAAACACAGAAAAATCTCTGTCAGCACATAAGTTGGAACACAAGAATCAAAAGACTGTTGATCTGTGGTCATTTGCACTGCACGGACATTATATTGTTTATCCATCAGGGGGCACTATCCAGTTTATTTTTCAACTCGTTAAATGACCCATTTTAAGTCCTTTTCTGGGTTTTTTATTTATATATTATGGTCAACACACACAAAAGCAAAAAACAACATGTCTCAGATCATCATCATAAGATTTTCAAATATTGATCTGAGCCTTCAAAACGGAGTTTCAGTCGGGTTTAACTTTGAATCAATTATCCTGCAAAGAACCCTTTGTTTCCCTTTCAAAACAAAACTCTGTTTCTATGCAGTAACAAGTACTTGTAGTGCAGTGTTGCATACTTTTATGAATCTCTTGCGCTGCATTTTTCTTTGGAAAACACTACAAAGCAGTTGGCTGATGCTTCGGGCAGATGATTCAGTCATCAGGTCTGCAGCTCAGACCGCAAACAGAACTCTAAACCAAGACTTTGAGTGTGCAGATACTGAAACATGCAAACACACACAAACACCCTGACCGTGTGACTCCGTGTGCACGAGTGACTTTACGTGAACTCTGTCTCACCTCATCATCCTTGTACCAGGACAGACTCTCGGCGGTGAGTACAAACCAGTACTCCTTGGCGCCTCCCTTCATGATGCCGATGTTATTAATGGTCAGCCAGCCCTTCCTGATCACCTGAGAAACAGACAGATATAGTAGACACACAGAAAGGAAATGAGCTGAAACTCAACCAGCATTTGCACATTTCACAAAGTTAACATTAACATCCATCAACCTTTACATTTACAGACATTTACCACACACATATGTAGGCCTACCTACACAGCAGAAGTGAATGAGCTAACAAAAACGCTCAGCTAACCACCAACACACTCCTCGCACTCGCTCTCTTTTTTCTCCTCAGCTCTCTTGTATTTCATTCCCTCCACTTTACAGTCACACATACAGTACGATGGTGTGCAGGTTATTTACCTTGAACCGATCGTTAACTCCTCTCTCCGGCTGAATGAGAATGTGGAGAGAATATTACAAAGCTATGCCAGCATAGGGCATTTAGTAAAAGGCCAAATACACACGACTGATCAACTGCCAGCACATATGGATGGCAGCAAGGGGACAGCAAGCAGGGTGAGGGACGAGGCAGATAAGGAGGCTGCAGTGGCCCGTGTCACCTTTTGAAGATCATGCAGTGAAATGCATGCGATCCTGTTTTATGCTACACTGTAGGTATGAGCTTTGCAAATGGAAGCAGCCGATTAATTATCTGAGCAAGAGCATTGAAATAACATACATTCAATTCAGCTGTTTCCCTTTAAAGTAGTTTAAAGCAGAATAAAATAATTTAAAGCCTGGCAATTACCTACCGACAATGTAAACCCTTAAAAAAAGTCTGGATGGATTTATGAAGTCCATTCATTTGTGTCTTTTGGATCACTATTGAGCAATTCAACTCACTTATGTTCTTCTGATGGTTTCTGGACAACAATAAGGGTCCACAGCACACACTTAAAGACATAATTCTTTGCCCTCATAAATATAAAGTAGTAATTTGGGGTTAAATGCAACTGAAAAATATATCATATATATAATAAACAAAGGAAAAAATGCTTTGTGTAAACTGAATGTCCGCCAATCACATAAAATTAATTTGTCCAGAGTCAATTAAATGTAACAGTTTACACTGTACTTATGTAACCAAATTACATTGGTAAATTTACATGTAATCAGATTACTTAGAGTCAGTATTTTGGGATTTTTTTTTTTAGAAAAGACAAATAATCTATAATCTGGCTATCAGCCTGTTCTTATAGAGTCAACGCCTTTAGGTCTTGTCACTGTTTTGCCTTATAAAAGGAGGTCTAATGAGACGTGTTTTAAGTTTTACATGAGGGACTTGCTCTACATTTAAATAATTAATAATTAATCTCTATAAAAAGTTTATTCTTCTTGAACATTTAGATTAGGATCTATCATAAGGTGTGGTTAGCTTTAAGCATAACTTGGTGGCCTGTAAAGGATTTGTAATATTTGAAAGATTATCTAAGACACAGAGGTGTTTTCAGAAACATTTTTAATGTTGAGTTTCTACTTTCATGTTCTCCTAAATTTCCCTGCATGGAGGTCAGACCAGCAGTGAATGAGAAGAGCAGAAGCTTCAGGGTCTTTAAGGGCCAATGATATCCATCTATAAACAGGATGTTAAGTTCACCACTTTGCTTACAATGTGCCCCTAACCTTTGACCCTTCTCTGGGTGGTTGCAGTGACAGCTACAGGGATGCCATATGTCTGCAGGTATTCATGTCCTCTGGACTTCTGTGTTACTTTGAATTTAGAAGAGGCAGGGGAACGCTAAGACCCCTTTGATCAATATTTCGAGGGAAAATATTTATCAGAATTTTTTCAGACTCTCTTCTTTTCTGTCTTTTGTCTTTATTGCTTCTTTAGACGTGTGACTCCCTCTTCATGTAGTTCAAGCTACTGCTGGGGGGCATCTATTTACTGCCAAAGCAAATCAACTGCAGAGCCAAAGCCACACTGAACATCTCCAAACTGGGCCTTTCTGAAAGATGCATGTGGGGTTCACGCACACACACACACAAAATAACATTATACAACAGAGAATCACACTGCTTTTTATGTGCACAAAAGCTTTTTATGGCATATTTACAACCCTGAAATGTAATTGTGTTTCTGTGGGGATGACATAGCTGAAAAAAAGGAGAACAAGGAAACAGCCAAGCATCTCTAACTACAGTCACCTGCTAATCTACTAGCACTTACTCTGAATGTTATTTCATACACACACACACACACACACACACACACACACACACACACACACACACACACACACACACAC